AAGAAAATGCATCTGAGTTGTGAGCTATGAAAAAAGGAGCATCGACTCCATCACATATGTAGCTGTGTTGATGAGGCTGTTCATCAGCTGTGTCCACTCACGTGTTGGAGTCAGTCGACTGCTCTCACTGGACCGCTTTATCAGAGGACAGCTGATATTTACCCCGAACAGGCGACGGTCTCCTGTCAGCTGCACCTGCAGAGGAATGACCACTTTTCTTCCCTGAGGATCAAAGATCATCACAACATGGATGTTAGAAAACCCTGATGGTTGCATTTATATGTGCACACAAACAGAGTGGATGTCTGTAGAACACCAGTCTAAATAGGAGACATGGCAGCAAACTGAGCTCAAACCTTCTGCTTCTATTGTTTGGCATTTACATTTCCAGAGTTCACCATTTTTAATATCCTCGTGTCAATGCATATGTCTATTTATACAATTATAGCAAATACACATAACACAAAAGTGGTCCCCTGCTTGCTTTAACAGTCTAGGTGTGTGTGTGTGTGTGTGTGTCGTTTCCTTTCCCCTGAGAATCAGCCTGTGATATACATTTCTCACAAAAACTGTTGTTTGACCTCAGTGCGAGCATAGCAGCTGTCATATCTGCTGAAGAAGGAGAGGCTCTGGTCCTTGTCTATGCCCATTCTCACCCCGCAGGGCCCCTCCAACTGAGGCACTGGGACTGTGGCCCCTGACATATCTGAGAAAACAGCAGCACAGGCACACTGACAGAAGCAACGCAAATACTGGGAGAATGCTCTGGAAAGGGTTTTATAGCCTAGTTCTGCACGGGTGGACACGATCTTACCTCTAACACGGACATTGCTTTTGACCTGCGGTCCAAACACAGCTGTGATTCCTCTGGTAGAACACGTGACTGTCGGCAGGACGAGCTGTGTCCTCTGCTCAGGTGTTAACTTCCCCTGCAGGGTCGAGAAGGCAAAAATGAAGTAAATCAAGCGAAGCTTTGCACGGCGATGAATCATCTCCTTATTGTTTGGAGGTTTACACTGATATGGTTTCGACTCCAGAAACACCCGGTTCTTTCTTTAACACGGGAAGCGGCCCCGTGACACCAGCTAATCAGTGTTAATGACTCTGAAGCTGGCTGCAGCCCCACCCAGAGCTTCACTACATGTCTCTAAGTGCTTGTTGAAATATTCTCTTGCTCGGCACCTGTGCGCCCAGAGAGCTGTGGGCTCAAGGTGATTTGAAAAGTAGGACCGAATCAGATGGTAAGTAATTAAATAAATAAATAAATAAAGGCCTGTCGTTTAAATAATAGGCTTCATATCATGCATGGCCCAGTGGGTCCTCAGGAGTCCATCAGCTGAAGGCATTATGTAACTCAAAGACTTCCACCCTTTGCAAGACTTGTACAAGATTGTTACACTTGAGAAACCCTGACGGTTGCATGCAACTTTTTTCAGGGTTTCCGAGAATCGTCCACTTAGGTTGTGAAATTAAACGTCCATTAATTCTTCAAGCAGATTAACTGGGTTCGGAGCTTCAGCTCCTTTGGCTCAGAAGTTAGTTGTCTCTACAAAGACATCATGAGTTTAACTGTAATGCCACAGGATGCACTGAGGTCGAAACTTTCATTCGACTGTTATTGTTTCATCAGTGATGTTGACAATTTAAAAAATGAACATTGAACACAGGCCTAAATAAAACAGTAGCATGGTCTAGTTTCGTGTGTTAAAAGCAACATTGTACAAAAATAGTCTACACATAGGTGAAACACATCACAATAATATAATCAAATATAACCACATGTTGTAAATCTTGTCTTAAAGAAATAATGTACAAATTTCATTATACTATAAAACATGTTCTAGGTGTATGTATGTGGAATTTACACAATAAGACCTAATGTAACAGATTGAGCCTATTATTGCATTCAGATTCAGTAACAGTGTATTATTCAGCCACAAGTGTTAAAACAACGTGCTCTGTGTTATTTAAAAAAACAACTTGTCTTTAAAAAAAAAAAAACAAAAAACAGACGGACAGCTAGGCTACAAAAAGTTTGTAAAGTGAATTTCTCTAATTCTGTTTGTAGCCTAATACAAGATTGTAAGTGACACAAAAATCCTTTAGATGAAATGTTGGTTTGTACATTTTATATCTGTCATTCGTGTCCCAGTAACGTTTAACTGGGCTCGTGTATAACGGTGTTTGATACCTGTGAGAATAGCTCGTGAATCACGAGTTGTGACGTCACGTTGGTGACGTCTCTATGGCTCCCTGGTCTGGCTGACAGAAGTTTGTAGCGTTGGAAACAGGAGAGAAGACGTCTCCCAGCCATGGCTGTAAATCGGAATCATTCTCAAAACGGCGGCGTTTTGATAAACAACGGAGAAAGGTGTGTGTTTTCTGTTCAATGTGTGTTATTAATTTTCTTAGCTAGAAAGCTGTCGCCTCTCTTTTTTGCTTGTTTACCTTCACTTTCCAGTGCGTAGTCAACATAATGCTATCCCACCGCTAGCTGGCCTGGCTAACATTAGCATAGCTAGCCAACACGTCCCTTCCATTATTGACATTAGTGTTGTGTTCGTCGTCTCAGGGTAATTCAAATGTTATATTACATTTTTGGACCGCGGTAAGGTAATGTTAATAATGATCGACTTTATAGCCGCTTTGTATCTTGACGGTTAGTTTACGTAAGATGGCTGGCTAACTTGTAATGTTAACCAACTATCAAAACAGGAAGTAGCTGTAACAGCTGTTTGGATGTTGACATTTTGTTAAAACAAAAATGTCATCACATTTTAAATGTGTTTAAATTGGAGTAACTACACGTTGTGAAATGCACTAGTCTCAGAAATTTTCCACATGCCACAATGACCATAATTATGTCAGTTGTAGTTCCAACAGGTTGTAGCGTTACATTAGTTCCATCTGCTCCTTTCCTCCCCAGTGTTTTAAGGCAGTGTAAGAATGTGGAGCTGTCATTCAGTGATGTCACCTGCAAGACAGACCTGCTGAAGGGGACCAAGAAGGGCACTGTTTACCTCACACCATACAGGGTACACCTGCAATGAAATAAAATGTGTAACATACTACTGCTGCTGCAGTTTTCTTGAGTAAAATGTCATCACTATTAAAATGTCATGACTATTCATGTTCTCCT